GCATTTTTTACTTTTTAAAATTATAGCAATGTATCCTATTTCCCCACAACTGTCTGTCTGTCTGTCTGTCTGTCTATCTGTCTGTCTTTCCATCCTTCCCTCTTTCTTTCCCTCCCCAAGATGACTTCCTCTGTGTAGCTCTGGCTATCCTAGAATGTACTCTATAGACCAGGCTAGCCTGGAATACCTAGATCTGCCTACCTGTGTTCTGCCTGAGTGTTGGGATTAAAGGCATGTGCCACCACCTCCCAGCTTCAGTTTTTATCTTTAAGTTGTGTGGGTGGTGGGATTACTTGCATGTGAGTTCAGTGAGAAGAAGGTATCAGATTTCCTGGAGTTGGAGTTACAGGTAGTCACAACTTCCCAACATGAATGCTGGGAACCGAATTCGGATTCTCTGGAGGAGCAATGAGTGCTTTTTACTGCTGATGGCAGCTCTATTGCCGCCTGTCTTAATTACATGGGCTGGTTCTGGCCACCCTGTGGGCTCTTGTTTGATACACATGGAGGCCACTGTCTTGGGGGACTGGAGCTAAGTACCATTCTTTACTTCTGCCAGCTAGGCTAGTGAGATGGTTCAGCCAATTAAAGATACTACTCAAGCTGGAGAACCTGAATTTGGTCCCTTGAACCTACATAAAGGTGTAAGGGAAGAACCCTTATACTTAACCATCAGCTAGTGGCAGGTTGTAGATCCCGGCAATCGTGGCACTTGGTAGATGGGTATGGGATGGCCAGTGGCTCAAGGACTAATGGACTATTTCTGGGACTAAGGGTAAGTTCTTGAAAGCCAGGAGGATGTTTTCTGAAAGCACCCAGAACTCCACCTCAAGCCATCCTGTGCCTTGCAGTCTATGCCGAGCAGGATTCTTGTGAGTGGATCGAAGACACCCTGGGATTCAGTTTTGTTTCACAGATGACCTCTGCCATGCATGGCTAAGTGTGGACTCACTGCTGAAGTGATGGAAAAATAATGTCACCAAATGAGAAAACAGGTCCTCAAAATAATAACATAATACCGGTTTCTATTGCCTCGTAGAGAAGACAGCTTCAGAAATCAGCTTGCTGCTCTCTCCAGACAAGATCTTAGGACCTATGGCTAATTTGTTTAAGTGAGAAATGTTTTTTGAGTCAGATTTCTGTATGGGTAGATGCCTTTTAACTCATCCCTTATTAAGCACCTGCTAAAAAGCTCTTAAGTGGTTCTCCACAGACCGGTTCTGCAAACTTTGGCCTGTTTTAGTCTTTGAGATATAGAAAGCTCTTGTTTCATTACTGCAGAAAAGGAAGAAAAGGAAGACTTTAGACTCACTTTTAGCAGGATGGTAGTGGTACACACCTTTAATCCCAGCACTTGGGAGGCGGAGGCAGATGGATCTCTGAGTTCAAGGACAGCTTGACATACAGAGTGAGTTACAGGACAGCCAGGGCTACAAAGAGAAACCCTGTTTCTAAAAAAAAAAAAAGCAAAATTAACCAGCCAACCAACCGACCAACCAACCAACTTACCAACCAACCAACCTAACTTGACACTGTAGATAAGTTTGTTTGAGAAGTAGAAGAGAGCTCAGGGATTATCAACTTGTCCTCCACTGATAATCATAAGGATCCCTATGGAATACCAGGGGTTTCTTGTACACTTTAAAAACTGGTCCAATCCTTTTACAGGTCGCCATAATGTTCTACCATCCCAAAGCAGCAGTCCTTCCAATGAGGCCAAGTGGCATTTACTGTTGTTTTGTAGGAAAGGGCCTGGATTAGGAAAATCTACCATCTTTATGTTTAACATAACGGTTTATACTTTAAAAAAATGTGTATAGTCGGTTTGTGTGTATCTGTGTCTGTGCGTTTTGTGTGTGATGAGAACATAGTAACTGGAAGAGGTCTTCAGATTCCCTGGGACAGACTTCTAGCTTGTTGTGAGACTCCATGTGGGTTCCAGCATTTGGACCCAGGTCTAGTGCTCAGACCCATGTAACAAATTCTATCCAGAGCTAGTAAAGTGGCCTTCGGGTGCACAGACCAGTATTTTTTGGTTGTATTGTCAGGGCTATCCATTGCACATGATAGGAATTATTAGGCTAAAAGAGGCTGTAGTGAAAGGAACCTGGGTGAAGTGGCTATCTGTCTTGCGACAAGACATGGAGGGCGGGCTTCAGGAGCCTTGAGAGCTGGGGTCATTGAGTTGAAAGCCCTCCAGACCTGTACGAAAGCATTGCTTCTGTAATTGCTCAGTGGGACCAGATATATTTGCTCAGTTGTTTACTCGGCTGGAAACTAGTCTGTAGAACCAGCTTGAGTTTGTTAAATCACAGGTTTGCTACCTATATTAGAACTATAGCTCCCTAGAAAAGGCAGCTGACCTAGCTCAAGAAATCAAGGTCAGAGACCTATGGGATTTATACTTGACTTCACAGAAGATATTCTTGGGGAGGAATTTCTCAAACGCCTTTCTCTGTTTGAGGCTTTTAAGACAATGCCTGAAATTCCTTAGCTGGTCTCTTGAAATGGCCTTTTGCTGAGTGATTGTCTTTGAGGTCAGATGAAAGGTATTATTTCCAGTTAAGAAATGGGAATTGACTGGGGATGTGGGTTATTTAGTAGAGTACTTGCCTAGCATGCACGCTCTGGGTTAGAAACATCAGCATTGACTAAATTGGGCATAGTGGTCCACACGTGTAATCTCAGCATCCTGGGTGAGGAGGCAGAAGAATTACATGTTCAAGTCCATCAGTGACATGAAAAGTTCAAGGTTATCCTGGGATGTGAGTCCCCATCTCAAGAGGGAAGATAGCAGTGTACTGTATCAAAATTTTGGGGCAAGGGTGTTTTTTTTGAGACATAGTTTATCGTGTAACAGCCCTGGTTATCCTGAAACTTTTTGTAGACCAGGTTGGCCTTGAACTCAGACATCCATTTGCTTCTCCCTACAAGTGTTAGGATTAAAGACGTGGAAAAACCACACCAGCAAATATAAGTCCATGTGGGTGTTAGGGCCTGTGAATTGCTAAAGAATAATACCATAGACTCAAACAGTATGCTAAAGTAAAGAACATTTATTGAACAAATTCCTACATACAGGGGCCCAATTCCATCAGGATGGAAGAGCCCTGACTGAATTTGAAGATTCAGTTGTAAAGCCAAAAAGAAGAATATTAGGGATGGTTAGGTGATCTTGATTGGTGGGTTCTTTCTCTGGGGGTCTGGGTGATGCTATGATTGGTTAGGGTCTTGATTCAAGCATTCTTGACCAGCTTTTCTTGTTTCATGACAAGGAGGTATTGAGACCCCTCTTTTTTTAGGTTTATTATTTCATGTATATGAGTACACCATCGCTGTCTTCAGACACACCAGAAGAGAAGAGGGCATCAGATCCCATTACAGATGGTTATGAGCCATCATGTGGTTGCTGGGAATTGAACTCAGGACCTTTGGAAGATCAGTCAGTGCCCTTAACTGACTCCAGCCCGGTATTGAGGCTCTCCATCGATTTCTTGGCTGCAAGCTTGCCTAACTTCTTTTGCAAGCTGGGGAGGGGTCCCTTTTACATAAGCCTGGTTGTTCCAGTAACTGACTTGCCCAGTTCTGAGAAGTAGAAACTCAGACCTGGTCTCCTGCACTGCTAGTTTGAAGCCTGTCATGGAGTCAGCCTGTCTTAGGCCAGTGCTGTCTTTTTATGGGAAGCTGGAGACTGCTGCCAGGTGAAGACCCATTTATCTTAGTGGATATCTATTAAACACAAATATTCTTCCTGTAAAAAAATAATTTTATTTCATGTGCATTGGTGTGAGGGTGTCAGACATAGTTGTAAACTACCACGTAGGTGCTGGGAATTGAACCCAGATCCTTCAGAAGAGCTGATAGTGCTTTTAACCACTAAGCCATCTCTCCAGCCCTCATGGTCTCCCTTTATCAGTAGGTATTTGCCTGTCAATTTAGTAGTCGAAGACCAAGTAGAGAAGTGCCATACGGTGGCTAAGGTTTGCAGTGTACTTGACGGCAAGCATACCGTGTATACCGCCTTAGTTCTCAGACGAATCCCTATTGTCTAAGGTGACGATTTTAACTTCTTTTTTTTGAGACAGAGTCTTGCTATGTAGCTGAGACTCATTTGGAAGTCACTGTGTAGTCTAAACTGATTTTGGAACTCAGACATTCCTTCTTCAGCTTCCCTAGTGCTGGGATTACAGATAGGCTCCACCAAACCCAGTTACAGTTTACTGCATCTCCTTATTTATGTCTGGCAGTGCATACCTGTGCATGTAGGAGGGCAAGAGCATGCCTGTGGTACTTAGAGGACAGCTTTCAGGCGGTTAGAGGATAGCTTTCAGGAGTCGGTTCTCTTCTTCCACCAAGTATGTTCGAGGGATTGATTTCAGGTGTCAGTTTTGGTGGCAAGCACCCTAACTGGATGAGCCATCTTGGTGATCTAGGCACAAATTAAAAGAGGAAACGTGGACTAGCACATGCCTGAGTAGTTTGGTAGGAATTTAAACTTCTGAGCTCTGGTCTAGAGTCTCTTGCTACCACTGAGTACTGTTTTCCCAAGAAACTCGATAGAAAGTACAACAGTTTAGGACTTATGATGTGTGTGTATTTTGACTTTGAAGTCGCAAACAGTTCAGTGGAGTACATACAGGTTTTGAAACCACGGTGAGTTGGATCCCAGTTTAGGAGATCCTCGGTGGATCATGAGCACACGTTTACTCACTATTAAATGAGACAAAGGGCAATTTCTTCAGAGGACAGTACACGTACAACATTAAACTGACAAGCCAGGACACTTTCAACCCATTCATCAACTGGCCTGGACCAGGGATGGAGGCAGGAGAGCCGGCCCTGCTGGACACTAGGGGGCGCACGAGGTCCTCAGCAGCGAAGGCGTCTGGAAGGCGGCTCGGGATGGCGCGTGCGCGCCCGGTTCCCGAGCCGGCGATTGGACCATTCTGGTCTCGGAGCCTCTGCGTGCGCATGCGCGGCAGAGACAAAGTGCCGGCGCCCCCGGAGTCATGGCTGCAAAGAGCTTCGCTTCCCGTCTCAGGGACTCGCGGCGGTTTCTGAAAGGCTTCTTGGCCGGGGCTGTAGTGGGCGCCGCGGGAGCGGGGCTGACGGCGCTGCAGTTCCTCCGGCGTCGGGACGCGGGATCCGCAAGGCCGGCGAGGCAGCCGCACGGTGAGTCTGCAGGCCGGCTCCATCCCCGGGGCGCGGCTCCCTCTGCTCCCCCAAATTCTTCCGGCTGCGGGCTCGCACTTCACCTCCCCTCCATCCTTAGCTCCACCCCGAGCTGAGACTCTGTTTGTTCTCCACCTTAGGTGCAGCACAGTGCCTGGTACAGAGTTGGCCTTCAGTAAGTGTCTTAGTTTCTTTTCCTGTTGCTGTGACAAAGTATACCTGACCGAAGAAGCAACTTAAGGGAAGGGTCTGTTTTAGCTTCTAGTTCGAGGTGCACCCCATCATGGCGGGGAAAGATCTCGAAGCATCTGGCTACATCGCTTCCACTGTCAGGAAACAGGGACGAGTGCGTGCTGCTGTCCTGCTCCCCTTCTCCCAATTGTATACAGTGCGGATCCCAGTCAGAGAATGACCCCGCCTGTAATTAAACTGGGGGTTCCCATATCAATCAGTACAATCAAGATCCCCCTCTCCCCATAGGATCGTAGTATGTACATCCTTAAATTAACAGGGCACTTTATCTTTACACAAAGAAGTGGGCACAGACCCATGTCATTCCAGGACAAGCTGAACCACCTGCTTCTTTGACACTTGCCATTGTGCAGGAGGACTACTCTGGGAAGGCACGGGGTAGAGTCACTTGGAAGCAGCTCCCGGTTGAATCCACTAGGAGGAAGTGTCAGTTTCCCAGCCGGGCTGCCTTGTAGGCTGCAGTCTTTCCTTGAGCTAGAACACTGGGGAAGTATCAGTGAGGGACAGTGTGGGTGGGCTTTTTTTTTTTTTTTTTTGAGCCAGTATTTACTGTGACCCAGCCAGGCATCAGACTGGTTGGAGTAACAGGTGTGTGCACTCACTCATGGAATTAGAGTCTTTTAAAAATTAAATGGAACCCTGGCCGGTTAGCTCAGTTGGTTAGAGCGTGGTGCTAATAATAAAAATTAGATGGATACTTAACCTGGCGGCTGATATATCATGATGATGAAAAACTAAAATTATGGCCGTTTTTATCTCTATAAGTAGCAAGATGTTCCCATCGTCCAATTTTATCAATGACTGATAATTAGTAGTGGCGCTATTGTTTTCCCTTGAGTTCTCTCCCTCTCTCCCTCTCTCCCTCTCTCCCTCTCTCTTTCTCTACACACACACACAGAGTTTGTGGTACAGACACACTTGCAAAACTGATATGAAAAACTAATGTGATTGGGTTCTTATTTCTTTTTGGTGTCAGGAATAAAGTTAGGGCCTCTAGTACGTGCACAGCTCTGTCACTGAGCTATGCTCCGCCTCCACCCTGCACGCCTCTCCAGCCAGGCCTTTATTTAACTATGTAACCATTACTATTGCTGCGTGTAGCAGCACATGCCTGGAAACTCACTGTGTGGTAGGCAGGGGCAAGAGGAACAAAAGTTCAAGGCATGCCTAGGCCACAGAGGACTTCATAGTTAGGTTTTTTTGTTTGTTTGTTGTTTTGTTTTTTGAGACAGGGTTTCTCTGTGTAGCCCTGGCTGTCCTTGAACTCACTCTGTAGACCAGGCTGGCCTCGAACTCAGAAATCCACCTGCCTCTGCCCCCCGAGTGCTGGGATTAAAGGCGTGTGCCACCACTGCCCGGCGACTTCATAGTTAGTTATGAGTAACCCTGCATTTGTTCCCAGCACCAAAACCAAACACATATTGATGAAGCTTATTGTGAATACCCAACAGATGACAGGCAAAGGAGGATTTTGCTGAACTATTTTCTTTGACTTAATAAATAATGGCAAAGATGAGGCCCCTCCTCCTCCCAAGGTCTCAGAATCGGACTCCTTGGTGAGACTTTTGAGCCAGTTGGTTTTAGACATCACTGTTGTCTTTAGAATCTTTTGCTCTTAATAAGAGTCACTAATTACTTTTTTTTCTGTTCATAACTCCCTCTTTTATTTTCTTTCTTTCTCAGAATCTTCAGAAAAAGTTGTCTTGGAACAGTTTGGATTTCCTTTAACTGGAACAGAGACTAGACGTTACACTAACCATGCCTTGTCTTATGATCAGGCAAAACGGGTGCCCAGATGGGTTCTGGAACATATATCCAAGGACAAGATCATCGGTAGGTGGTTGGGAAAAGTGTCCAGGTGCTGATTAAAGGGTTTCCATGTTCAAAACAAGAGGACTGTTGATAATTTCAACCTTTGTACCTCTTAGCACACCTTGAAAATGATGTTTGTTTGTTCTCTGAGAAGCAGCAGAGAGTTACCTCCTGAACCACAGGGAGAGAGACAGAAGGAAAAAAAAGAGACTGGGCCTAACATGAGCTCTTGACATCTCAAAGCCTACTCCCAGGAACACAGCCCCTTTAGTGAGGCAGGCCACACCCCCTAATCCTTCTCCTTCTCAGTGGTCCACCAGGTGGGGACTAGCTGTGTGTGTGTGTCTGTGAAGGCCATTCTCATTCTAACTACCACACTGTTTACAAAGGTTCATCCCACTCAGAAATCTGGTTTAGAAGTTCCTGGGTGGAGTTCCTACCTTAGATGTTTATTTTGTCATGGCCTGAGAGGCAATAGAGAAGCTGTAAGAAGCTCTCCCTGCTGAGCATGCCCAGAACAGACCTCTGTGTCTATATGTAACCCTTATCCATGAACTCAGTACAGATAAGCTTGCCAGAATATCATTTTGTAAAACACAATACACAAGTGTCTATTTTTAGTTGTCTCATATATGAATATTTTGTATATTAATGTTTTAATTGTTTCATACGTGAGGGTTTCATATCAGCATGTAATGGGTTTTGATCAAGTCCACACCCTCTTCCCTTGCCTTTAGTTCTACCCTGTCCCTTTTGGCACTATTTCCTTATAATTTCATGTGTTCCTCTTTTTCTTAACGTCCACTCCCCCCTGCCCCCTCCACTCCTGCCCCCTCCGCTCCTACCCCTTCATTCCCCGAGGCCACTTAGTGCTATCAGTGTGTACACTGGAAGGTGGGTTGCACCATCTTGAAAAACTGACTCTTTCTCTCCTCGGGGCCATCAGTTGCCAGTGGCTCCTCGGGGAGAAGAGGGACTTTGTGACCTCCTGCCCCTTTGTTGGTGTGAACTTGTGAGTGCTCCTGGGATCCTGCGTGTGCTCCTGGGAGGCTGAGAGCTATAGGATGGTGCTTTGTAAAACAAGTTGATTTGGCGATGTCGTTTTTTCTGCTCCTCACCACTCACCATTTCTGCCTGTACACTGTGCAGGGCGTTTTCTCTTTAACTGGAAAAGCCAGAGTCCGAGAGGGAGCTTCACAGTAGGAGAAGCATCCTGTCCTAGACTAACCTTGCCAAGCTCAGATGAACTGTCTCAACTGTTTTAGGACCTGGAGACATGCAGATGGTCCCTGACGCCAGCTACTTGAAGTTGTACCTTCCCACACCGGTCAACCTGCCTGCCTTAGAGGACCCACTGATAACCGTTCTGTGTGTTTTTCTTCAGGTGACGCGGACAGAAAGCATTGTAAATTCAAGCCGGATCCTACTGTCCCTTCAGCCTTCAGCGCCCTCAATGAAGACTATATTGGAAGTGGCTGGTCACGAGGTCACATGGCCCCTGCAGGAAATAACAAGTTTTCCAGTGTAGGCACACTGTGGAGAGGATGAGGTTGTGGGGCTGGTGATTTAGGAACCAGGTTGTGAAGTTTGAGAGTGTCCTCATCTGCTTTTGTTAGCTCCGTGCCTTTTTAAAATTTTAATTTATGCACATTTGTATTTTGCCCGAATGTCTGTCTGTCTGTGTGAGGGTGTCAGGTCTTGGACTTTACTTTTACTTTGTGCATGTTAAACAAACATTTCACCGCTGAGCCACACCCAGCCCCTAACTCATTTTTTTGTTTTGAAAAGTTTCAGAGATGAAGAAAGTTGAAACACAGCAGCAGTCAGTCTGACGCAGCGCCTGCCAGGGTGCTGGTTTAGTCACTGAGGTGGAGCTTTGTCCACGAAGATTAGATACACAGAGAGAGTGCATTTAAGTGGCTAAAAACTGGAGGAAAAGGGACGTTTTTCTCTACTACTTTTGAACTAAAATTTGGTTTTCACACCTCTTACATAAAATTTCTGGAAGTTGACCTTTCCTCCAGATGTACAAAGCCCAAATTTTTTCTCATTCTCCCTGGAGGCCTTTAGTTAGTCCCTGGAGCTTATAAACCTGCATCCGAATGGCCGCTATAAGTGGTAAGAAAAGCCAGCCACACTGAACTACTTGCATTATAGTTTTTATTTATTATTATTACTACTTGAGGCATACCTATGTAGCCCAGGCTGGCCTAGAACCCATTATGTAGCTTAGGATGACCCTGAGTTTCTGATCCCCAAGCCTTTACCTCTGAAGTAATGGGATGATAGGCATGTGCCACTGTGCCCAGCATATGTACATACATATATACATACCCCAATCCTTTACCTCTGAGGTAATGGGATGTAGGCATGTGCCACTGTGCCCAGCATATGTACATACATATATACGTATACATATGTAGTTTTAAATTTAAGTTGTTTTGTGTGTATTGTGTGTGTGTATGCATGGATTGTATGTGGAAGCCAGAAGACATCTTTGTAGAGTTCTTTCCTTCATGTGTATGTGGGTTCTGGGCATCAGATTAGGGGTGACAAGGTTGTGGGGCAAGCACCTCTACCTGCAGAGCCATCTCACTCTCCTGGAGGTGTTACTTTGCATAACCGTGGATTTCTGTCTTGGGATATTTCTGTCTTTAATTATGTAAACAAACATCAGCAGATGGGGGACGGGTGGGGGATGTGGCCTACGTGGGGCTGTGGCTCGAATTCCAGCGCTGGTGAGTATAGAGACTAGCTGTTAGAGCTCTCTAGAGCGAAGGCATTCTCGAATAACACACTGTATCATTCCTTCGCAGGAAGCCATGGCAGAAACCTTTTACCTTTCTAATATTGTGCCTCAGAATTTTGAAAATAATTCCGGCTATTGGAATAGGTAGGTATGGACAGTGGGGCGTGCTGGACTGCCGCATGCTGCCCGTGCTGTCTGTGTTCACTCCTCGGGTGCCGTCCTGGCTGGACAGCTGCTCTCTTTGCTGTGGTTGAGAGACAGCCTGCCTCTCCGGTCCATCTGCTACTGCTCAAATGTCAGGTTCCAGAGAAGCTGCTCAGGATGCTATTCCTGCTAGTAACTGAGCAGTGCGTCAGGAAAGCTTTGTTCCTAAGCTTTGTAGGGAGGCCCTGTCTTCTGATTGTCCTGAGATGACCCATGCGCACTACCCCACCTGGTCTGCTTGAGCTTTGCAAGAGAAAAAAAAGCTTTTGTGCGGTACAATTCGACATTTTAGTGGTAGACATTATGAACGTGGCAAGCCATCTGCTTCTGACGGTGCTGACTTTGCCAGGCAGTCTTACCAAACATCTGAGACTGGCATGGACTGAGGTCATCTCAGGCAGGTGTGCTTCTCTTGTGTAATATTTTATAGTTCAGAATACAGCTAAGGGTGTTGTTCATTGGTAGACGGCTTGCTTCAAATGCACAGAGGTCTTGCCTTCACCACCAAAACAAAACAAAACAAACCTAAAAACCTAACAAAAGAAAGGAAGAAAAGAAAATGCTCTACCAGAGGATCTGAGTTCAGTTTCTAGCATCATGTGGTGGCTCACAGCTGTAATGCTAGTTCCAGGGGATACGGGGTCCTTTTCCGGTGTTCATATAGCACACTTACATGCAGGTAAAATGCACTGATAAAATAAAAGAAAAATCTAAAAAAAAAAATGTTAAGAAAATGTCCTATATTTAGAAGATGCCAGGGCTGGAGAGGCAGCGCAGTGGCTAGGAACCCATGACTAGGAGCTTGCAGGAGACAGGAATTTGCCTGCCAGGACCTGTACCAGGTAGCCCACAGCCTCCTGGAATTCTAGCTCCAGGTTCCAACACCCTCTTCTGTCCTCTGTGCACATAGAGACAAACAAGAACCATGAAGTGGGTCTGTAAAGCCTTCCTAAGTCAGGGCCCATCTGTTTCATCTGTACACTCCAGTCCCTCCCACCTGCTCAGACTATAATATAGGACTTTATACGTGTGCATATAGGAGACACAGTATGACTATTGCACTTAAAACAATTAACAGTAATTCCTTAGCGCCGGCTCTATAGTGTTCAAATCCCCCTACTGTCTTTGCTGCTGGGATTCAGTTAAGGTTCCAGTTTAACTCGCAGGTCTCCTCACTCCTGAGTTTGTCATTGTTGTGTCTGCAGACCGCACACCTATGGGAGCCTCTCACGTTTCCTTCTCCCAAGGGAGACCTTGGTAGAGAAGGACACCTCACCTTGTAACTAGGAATCCGCACTCTGAGAGGAGTGGTGGCCGGTGCCACCATCCCCTGTAGGTCATGCACAGAGCAGTTCAAAGAGTGTATACCGCTACCACATGGACGGTCTTGTCATGAGCCTCCATCTCTGTACAGATTCATTCCAGAGACAGTCGGCGAATGGGACAGCCAGAACCTAAGCGTCCTCTGTTAAGCTAAGCAAGGGAGTCCATGTTCCTAGTATCCTTAGCCTTTTAGGAAAGGTGCGTCCTGGTGATGAGAGACAAAAGAACTCTCATTTATCCAGTAGTCTCATGATACACGTTCTAGAAATAGCCATGACTTGGGGAATTACAGTTTAGCTTTTGACTTTTATGGGTAAGTGCAGGAGACATGGTCTGAGAACATCTCGGTGTTAGCCTTCCCTTCATTCCCTTCAGCTTCAGATGGGATGAGCTTGTGTAGGTTAGGGTGCATAGCTACAGTCTTGGTACTGTTCTTAGTTTAAAAAAAATTATTGGTTTTTTTGTTTTGAGACAGGGTCTCATTATGTAGCCTTGGCTACCCTGGGACTTATTACGTAGACAAGACTGGTCTCTAACCTATACAAATCCTCCTGCCTCTGCCTTCAGGGTGCTGGGACTAAAGGTGTGTGCCACTATGGCTAGCTCTAACTTAAGTTCCTAAATGAGATGTCTCATTTAAGAGTCTTTCCCAGGGACTGGGTGGCTTGCTGCTTTCTTACATGTATGCCTGTGAGCATAAAACATACTTTTGGTTTGTTTTCCAGGATAGAAATGTATTGTCGTGAGTTGACGGAGAGATTTGAAGATGTTTGGATAGTATCAGGACCTTTAACCTTACCCCGTGCTAGGACTGACGGAACGAAAACAGTTAGTTACCAGGTAGGGACGTGTAACATTCCCGCTCACGTTGTTCCGTGAACCTGTAATCTCGTTTGATGCTCTGCCTCCTAATGCCATGCATTCAGCATTATCTGTCAGGTACCTCCTGTGAGGGTTAGAAGAGGAGGAGATCCAGTGAGGGGTAAAAAGCAATCAGTGACTTCCAGATGCCCACAGCTAAAGGGAGGCGTTCACCATCCAACTGTGCTCAGACAAACAGATCTGTCAGAAGGACAGGGGAGCGAGCTGGGAGGAGGTTGGGTTAAGCCGCCAGAGTCTACAGTCACAGGCTTACCATATCTGTGACACAATAGGAAAACCAGATGGAGTGTAGACCAACTGAGTTAAGTTGGTTCCACTGGTGAGTGAGTACACAAGGCCAGCGCGCTCCCAACTGACGTCAGCTGAGGAGTTGTCACAAGTGGAAAACTTAGGGATCATTTTGTGGCTGTCACAGTAACAAGCTATTCAAGCATAAATCATCAGCAGATGCCAAAGTGTAGCAGAAGTTCTGTGAGGAACAGGGTGTGTGCTCACCATCTCATAAGTCATTTAGTGATCGAAAAGGTGAGAAATGAGAACTTGAACTTCGAAGCCAAACGACCAAAGTCCCTGTCTCTAGTAACAGGACTTCCTGCTGATCAGAGCTTCTGCTGTGCTGCCTGAGGAGAAAATGCCACTTCTGCAGAAGAGAGTAACATTCAATTCCATTGTGTGGAAATAGCAGGAGGAGCCCAGAGAGGACAGTATAAAACACACTGTGTGCTTTATCAGAGAGGGGTCATGTCATGAACTCAAAGGCCAGGGAACCAGCTGGGCTTGGGTAAAGTCTGATGTTCAGAATTGAAAACATGCAAGGATGATATTCTCTGGTCTCAGTTTTCATTACACTGGAGCATATAATGTTGTCTGTGATGGAACTTGGCCATTAGTTTATCAGTGGATGATGCTCAAGAAGTTCAAGTGGCCTGAAGAGTTTCTAGAGACCTGTCAGCCTTCCTCAGTCATCAGATGCATGGGGTCAGCCAGGCTTCCTGAAGGTGTGTTTTGAGTAAGGGTCTTGGCTTTTGTTTTTGTTGTTAAAACCTTACTTGTCTTAGATCTTTGTTTTCTGGGCTTCTGAGCCCTTCCCATTCGAGGTCTTTAATGTGTAGGGCCTACTGATGTTTGCATCAGCAGGGCTTTAGTTCAGCTTTCCTCAAGAGCCTGTCGTGGGAGGGAGGTGCACACCTGCAAATGACATTCCTCAAACTATATTCTTGATTGCATTCTCTTTCCTTCCTTTCTTTGTGTTCATGTGCATGTGTGTGCATGTGTGTGTACATGTGTGTATGCATATGTGCACAGTGTGCACATGTGTGTACATGTGTGTGTGCATATGTTCACAGTGTGCGTGTGTGTGTACATGTGTATATGTGTGAATATGTGCACAGTGTGCATGTGTGTGTACATGTGTGTATGCCTATGT